GTCTCAAGTATCTGGTAGACTAGAAAGAACTAAATATAAGACAGTAGAGATGGATAAAGTTCCTAAAGAACTACAACTTTGAGTTGAAATATCATCTTGGGAAGGCCAACATTGTGGCTGACGCTTCGAGTCAAAAGACGTTACACGTGGCATTCATGATGATGTAAAAGCAGATGTTAGAAGATTCTCAAATAAACACAAGAATGTTCTAGATTTTACATTGCACACCTTAAGTGTCACTGTGATCATGAATGTATTTTGGAAGGAGTTGAGAAAAGCACAATTGAAAGATGAGTACCTATTAGAGATTCGGGAAGACATTGAGGAGAACCAGAACACAACTTTTGGTTTTAGTGATGAAGAGTTCATGATTTATCATGATAGGATGTGTGTACCAGATGATAGGAAGATTAAAGAGACCATTTTGTTATAGGCTCACTGGAGTAAATTCACTATTCACATTGGTGCTACTAAAATGTACCAAGATATGAAGAAACTGTGGTGGTGGCACAAGATAAAAAGAGATGTGATTGAGTTCGTCTCTAAGTGCCTGACGTGTCAAAAAGTCAAAATAGAACATCAAAAGCTGCCTGATTTGCTACAATCATTAGAGATCCTAATATGAAAATGTGACAACGTATCCATACACTTTATTATAGGATTGCCTCATACTCAATCAAATTATGATACGATATGGGTAATCGTTGATAGACTAAATAAGTCAGCTCATTTTTTTACTGTAAAAGCAAACTACACATTAGAGAAGTTTGCTAAAGTCTATAGCTAGGAGATAGTGTGGTTACATGGGGTACTAAAGGATATTGTGTCAGATCACAATTTGAGGTGCACATCAAACTTCTGGAAGACTTTACATCAAGCCATGGGTGCAAAGTTGAAGTTTAGTATGACCTATCACCCCTAGAACAATGGACAAGTTGAGAGGACAATTCAAACTCTCGAAGATATGTTTAGAAGTTTTGTGATTGAACTCAGTGGAAGTTGGGACAAAACACTTGCCACTTATGGAATTTTCTTACAATAACAGCTTTAATGTAAGTATTCATATGGCTTTGTATGAATCTTTACAGTTGAAAGTACCGATCACCTCTTTGTTGGACCGAACTAAGTGAAAAGAGTATTTTAGGTCCATACTTGGTGGATCAGGCTACAGAGAAGATAGAGATGGTCCGACAAAAGTTGTTAACTACCCAGAGTCAGCAGAAGAGTTATGCGGATAAGAGGAGGAGACCGTTAGAGTTTATGGTAAGTGACCATATTTTCTTGAAGGTTTTGCCTATGACTGGTATTGAGAGATCTATTCGAGCCAAGAAACTAACTCCTATATATAGTGGCCCATTCGAGATTCTTGAAAGGATTGGCCCTTGGCATATTGGATCGCCTTATCCTTGCATTTATTAGGAGTACATGACATATTTCACATCTCACATCTTAAGAAGTACTATCTCAATCTGTCTCATATCATTAAGCCTGAAGAGGTAGAGTTGCGGGAGAACTTGACTTATTGGACTGTGTAGAAGAAAATAATTGATGTGAAAGAGAAACAGCTAAGGAACAAGACTATCTATTTTGTTAAAGTAATATGGAAGGGGAGGACTCTCAAAGATGTTACGTGGGAGACTGAGAAGAAGATGAGGCAACAATACCCTCGCCTCTTTCAATGAGGTATGATATATAGGTTTATTTGAATTTTGAGGAAAAAATTCTTAAAAGAAGGGAAGAGTTGTAACGTCCTATAAATTTAAACTCGATTAACTAAGCTTAATTAGGGTAATTAAGTTTATTGATGTGATGTGTGGCTAGAGAGATCTAATATGTGTATTTGGTTGTGATTTCATCATTAAATTTGGGTCTAAAGTGAAGTTAAGCTACCCTGGCATTAAAAGGTGAGAAAGGCTGAAGTAAGAGCCTCTATGCCACATGCTATGATGTGTAGCACGTTTGTCGCGGCACACAGAGGGAAAGCTATGATAGACAGGTCTCTCTGTGCCATTTGCCGTAAAGTATGCTGCATGCATCACAATGCATGGTTAAAATTTTTAATAAATGACTCACTGCCAAATAGAAAATCAAAAGGAGAGAAGAAGGAAAACAAAGAGCAAGCGTGATTTCTCTGCTAGGGCTTGTGGCATTGGAGGTTTGGGAGTATCTTGGATCTATAAAACATCTATGGTAAGGTTGCTTCGCTCATTTCTTCCCTTTCTCTTCCATTTTACTAGTTGGGAAGTTAGGTTTGAGTTATAATGGTGATTTTCAATCTATATGAGGTATGGGTCCAAACCCAGTGACTTAAATAAAGTTAATGGAAGTTGTTTAAGATATTTAAACCCCACATTAAAGATTTTATGGGTTGTTGGTTGGTAAGGGCCATTGATATTTGAATTTTGCAATTATAATGGTAGTTAGGAGTGTTAAATAGCCATTAATAGTGATTTAATGACTCATTAATGATAATGTAAGTTATTGAAACTTAGTAAACCTAATGAGTATGATTGGAAACGAGTTTATGATTTTGATAGAAAGAACATGTGGAGTTAGAATGTTGAAAATTGCCCAAACAAGGGATAATGATTATATCCTTATGATTTCATTATAGATTAACTATTTTGGCACCATTCAAGTTTGAGAACAGCTTTGGGAAGTTTGTGTTTTGAGAGGATAAATCTTTGACTTCTCAAATGTTTGAGGTAACCAGAGGAAAATATTGCTTGTATAGTTGTATGCTAATTATTTATTAGTAAACTAAATTATTCAAAAATTTATTAGGTGTTTAAAGACCAATTTATGTAATTTTGGCAATATGATGATTTATGTATGAGATGTTGTGTTGAATTGTTGAAAGCAATATGCATGTTAATACATATGTGATTAATGACGATAATTAAGAGTATGTCATATTGAAAATGATGAATATGCAATATTTGGTATGTGGAGTATAATGGAGGAAAAAAATTATGTGAACATAATACGATGTGATTAATATTATGAAGGGCATATAACTTGTTAGCATGTGCATAATATGATCATTAAGGTGGGAGTTTGCCTATAGGAAGAGGAATAGATTAATAAATTTACATGATAATGGTGGCTTAATGTTGGAATTAAAAGCTTACCTTGGTATTGACTGTTGAAATCGAGAGCTAACCATTGTCTCATAGTTGATTCGAGATTGTTCTACTTGTTCTTTAAGCGACTCGAACCTAACTGATCTTCATTGATTCATGAATAGGTTAGATTAGTGGTACGACACTCCATAATTATTAGTATTAGGAAAAATCATGGATCACGAGTGAGTGGGTTCACCCTAGCCCAACAACTCCTTATGAGTGGAAGATTGTGTTAGTTCGAGTTGTAGATGTGGCCACTTAATAGCCACCTGTTTTGACAGTTTGAGAAAAAGACGAGTGGAAAATGAGGGAATTAAGTGAAAGCACGCAAATGAAGAAATAAGGAAGAAAGATGGGAGTTAAATTAGTGTAAGACTGCTTAAGGAGTGTTTAGGTTTTTTTTGGGAAGAGAAAAAAAAAAAGGACATAGCATTAGCATATGTCATTGCCATAATTTTTTTAATTATAATTTTTTAAACAAGCTTTATTTAAAGACAAATCATTTTACTACCTTTCAAGTTTCAACCCAAATCGTAGAATATATAGCTTAAATTTTTAAATATTTATTCAATGCTAATTGAATATTATTTAATTTTATTAGGTAATCTTCAACTTTTAAATTTTAACTAACTAAATCTTGAGTTTTAAAATATAAATAATATTTTTAATATTTTTATACAGTTCCTATTTAATTTAATTTTATTTGTACAGATCTTCTAAATTTAATTTGAAATATATTGATAAAAATTATTTTGGATGAGAAAAATATAGACATACTTAGAGATCAAATCAAAAATTAAATTTTAAAAAATTTATTTATATTTTTTTTAGGTTTTTCAATGTAGTTTTTAATTAGGATTATTTAAAATAAATTTATTATTTTATTAAATTAGTAGATTTTCTCTAGCCACTGGAACGCATCACTTTTTATAAGGCAAACACACAGCACGCGGAGGACCCGACTTTTACGAGAAATTGGCGGCAGAAATTACTGGACAGGAGGAGAGGCGATCGCGCTTCGTCCAAGATGCTTCAACTCCCATCTTTCGCTTGTTTTCGTTCAGTTTTTACTTTCATGGGAAACTAAAATTTCTTAACGGGGTCAATCACAAATTATAATTTTAAATTTTAATTAAAATTTTTAATATTTAAAAAAATTATTTTAATTTACTCTTCTTCTCTCTACCTCTAAATTTTATATTTTAATTATTATTATTAATTAGAGTAGCTTCATTGCATAATTTTGAATTATAAACTTTATTTGATATTTTATTTACTATAATTTATTGATATAGTAACTTAACGGTAATTTGACTTGGTTTGAGTGATTGCTCAAGCCTTGTTTTTACTATGATTAAAATAAAACAACTGTTAAGTTGTGGGTTAAGTGAGATTTCAATTAATATATAACTTAATTATTTATTTAATTCTTGAATCATAATTTAAGAAATATATAATAAAATTAGAATAATAAAATTAAACAAAATTAAGTTAATTGCAAATGAGGAAGATTAAGTTTAGGTAATTGAATTGTGATTAATTTATATCGCTTGTTCTTGATAATTTTTTCAATTGAATTTTCTTTATTTAATTCTAATTTATTTTTTTAATTAATTTCATCGTAAAAAAAATCCTCCCACTATTTACTTTTTTTCAAAACTATAATTTAAATAGTTACCCTTAATTTTTAAAAAGACGATTTAAATTATGTTTTACTATAAAATTTAATTTTTATTAATTTTAATAGTATTTATTGCTGTTCACATTAGATATTTTAGTGGAAGAGGTTTTAATAATATATTGATGATATTCATTGATATTGATATTGATTAATGCCAGCATTATATTGCTTTTTTCCTCGTTTCCACGCTGTTTGGTTTTCCCTTCACTTTCCCGGTAGCTATGAAACTCGTTTACCAAAGCCTCACCGCGTCATAAGTGCTCTCTGTTTTGATCAATTCTATGCTATGAAACACGTTTCATTTCTGATACGTACTTTCTAAGCCGATCTGAAGAGTATCGATGTTTAATTTCTTCCATCCACTCTCCTGATAAGCCGTTCTTACCTTCACCAGACCTTCATGATCAGTATATAGAAGCAGCAAAAGCCTCATATATAAATCTCTTTCTCTTCTCTGATCTTTATCATAAACTAGGTTCGTGATCGTCTCTCTTCCACCAATAACCCAGCAATTCCCAGGTAACTTTCCGCACGATCTACACTATTTTTCTTCGCTTCTTTCTTTATTTTCCTTTTTCCCCATATCTCTATGTTTCGTTTATAGATCTTGATGCTACTAGCTACTCCACTTTTAACGGATTCTTCTTCTTCTTCTTCAGAAACAGATACGAAGTGAAGATTCCATGGATCTGTTGAATGAGCCTGTGAACCACCAAGGTAACCATTTATCCTTTCACTTTCAGATCAGCGCCAACATATTTCATATCCCATGCTCATGTAAAATCTACTCCATTTTAAAATTTTACATGCTTCAATTTTCATTTCATTTTATTCTTTATTTGAACATTAATAAAAATAATATTCTAATTGTTGATTTTGAAAATTGTTTATCTTGCAAGATCTTTAATTACACTAAAGAATAAAAAATCCTATGAACTTTTAATAAAGAACATGGTCCTTGAAAGGGAAAAAAGAAACGTGTCTGCATTTAGCACCAAGTGCTCATCAGGCCAGGACTCCATTTCAATTTAAATTAACCTCTGTTGTTCATTTAAATTAATTTTTAAATATTTTTAATATTATATTTATTAAAATAAAAAATGTAAAAAAATTACTATTGAATCTAGACTAGACTATATTTAAATAGTTAATTTATAAAATTTATAAACTTTTTATTATTAAATTAGGCTATTTAAATTATATCAGAACCATTCAAAGTCAATCTAGATAGTCAAATTATAAAATTATAAAAAATTTTAATATTAAATTGAATTGCTAGATTAAATCTGTACTTGCTAGATTAGTAATAAATAGATTTATTAAAATTTAAAATTTTTATATTTTTTATATTAATAAATATAATATTAAAAATATTTAAAAATTAAGTTAAATGAACGGTATAGATTAATTTGAATTAGAATGGAGGGTGAGGTGCATGAGCACACGGTGCCCCAAACGCAAATCTAAAAGAAACACAAGATTATCAACCACCACCTTTTTGTGTAGAGGTGGTGGATGATGAAAAAAGATTGTCTGATTAGATTTAGTTTTGAATTTTGATTCTCATTATAATTCAAAAAAAAAAAATCAAACACAAGATTTGGCTAAAAGGGGATCGGATAAAATTTTTATTTTGCAGGAAGAAACAAAATGATATGTCAATGCGTCTTTTGATGAACTGCACCGATGCTTCTCTAGCGGAGTTCCGTGGGAGAGGAAAGAAAGAGAAAATAAAGGGGGAAAAAAGGGAGAAAAAAAATAACCACATCTATTGTTTTTTGGGGGATGACCAATGAATGATATTTTGCTTTTCAATATATTTACCAAAAAAATATTTATGATTCTTTAATTCACATGATAGCTGTTAATCTGTATGTGCTCGTGTAATTTAAGGTTTAGGCAATAAACATGAACTGTTCATGAGTTTTTTGAGAGGCGAAGACACTCAAGAATCTTTCCCTTCCCGTCTCTGTTCATCTCTAAGGAATGCTGGAATTTCCGTTATCAAAGAAGATACTGAAAATGAAATCTCAATTGAACCGTTGCGAAGGATGATTGAAGGTTCTGGATTTTCAATCATCATCTTCTCCGAGCAGTATGCTAGTTCCAGAAGTTTCCTCGAAGAGGTTGCAAAAGCCATGGACTTTCACAGAGCACAGTACGATCACTTGGTTCTGACCATATTCTATGGCGTAGATCCATCCGATGTTGGCAATCAAGAATCCAATTTTGAGAAACAGTTTCAAAATCTTATACAAAGAATTTCACCCACTGAAGATCAAGTGTTGAGGTGGAGGATAGCTCTCAGTGAAGCTGGACGCATGGTTAAGTTTGTTGTACCTAATTCCAATTCCAAGTAATTTATAATTGTGTGTGTTACTCTCAATGCCATTATCTGCTTTGTTTGGAGTCATGCTTAATTAATCAATGCTTTCTTTTCTGCTATTCTTCTTTATAATTCGCAGGAATGAAAGTGAGAATATTGAGAATATTGTCATGCATGTTCGTTTTATGTTGGGCATGAAAGACAGGGGTGCGTTTACCACAAATGATCACCTAGTTGGTGTTCTTTCTCAAGTGCAAGAAGTGATTAGAATGTTTCATGACCATCAATCAAAAGATGTTGTCTCCATAGGGATATGGGGAATGGGGGGTATTGGCAAAACAAGTCTTGCTAGAGTCATTTATGAGTGCATATCTGCCCGATTCGACATTCAATGTTTTCTTGCAAATTTGAGGGAAAGCTGGGAAACGGACGGCGAAGTTTATTTACAAAGAAGACTTATTTCAAATATATGTAGAGCACCAGATCGGAGAATAGATAGCATTGAATCAGGACTCCTTGAGTTAAAGAAAATATTCAGCCGTAAGAAGGTACTTTTTGTGCTTGATGATGTGAATCACTTGGAGCAACTAAATACTTTATGTGCGAGTCCTGAATGGTTTGGTGAAGGGAGTAGAATAATTATTACAACTCGAGATTTACATCTCCTTCAGGCCTTTCAAGTGGACCATGTCTATACCATGAAACTTTTGAGTAATATCGAGTCCACTGAACTTTTCAATAGGCATGCATTTAAAGGAGAAAGTCCAGAAGCATTCATCGAACTTTCCAGAGAAATAGTTTCCTTTACTGAGGGGCTGCCACTAGCTCTTAGGGTCGTTGGCGATTTTCTGTATGGCCGGTCATGGCCAGAATGGGATGGCACATGTACACGACTAACCACATGTCTCGATCAGGGTATATACCGAGGTCTAAAGGTTAGCTTTGACTCTTTACTAAAAAGAGCAAAGGAAATATTTCTAAATGTAGTTATACATTATATTGGGGAGGACGTGAATGATGCGATACAAAAGTTGGATGGCCCTGGATGTAATGCTAGCATAGGGATAAGAGCCCTAGTGGATCGAAGCCTTGTTACAATTGACGAGAACAACAGGCTTAGAGTGCATAATTTGTTGCAGCACATGGGGAGACAAATAATAAGTGAAAGTGCAATAAACGAGCTTCAAAATCAAGGTAGGTTATAGTTTTGTTAGATTGCACGTGCTTCCTACATATTATCAAACACGCATGTAGCAGTGGTAATTAATATGACGCTTACTCCTTATTAAAAAAAAGTGATAATTAATATTACTATCCATAATATATGAAATTTCATAATCCTAAATAATAAAAATTTTCATGTCGTAATATTTTAATTTTATTTTGTACTATACTAATTTAAATAGCAATTTGATTTTTTGATATTCTGTATTTTTGAAATATAACATTCAGGTCATACGTACGAGGTGTTCTTGAGTTTTAGAGGTGAAGACACTCGAGCAACTTTTACTTCGCATCTTTATTCAGCTCTATGTAATGCTGGCATTGTCGTTTTCAAAGATGATGTTGAGCTTCCTAGAGGAAATCATATTTCGATGGAATTGTTGCAAGCAATTGGAAGCTCAAAAATCGCAATCATCATCTTCTCTAGAGGATATGCTGAATCTAAATGGTGTTTAGAGGAACTGTCAATAATCATGGAGCATCATAGATCAAATGATCAAGTGGTTCTTCCAGTGTTCTATGGTGTGGATCCATCAGAAATTCGTAATCAAACTTCTAATTTTGGAGAAGCATTTCAAAATCTTATGCAAAGAATTTCACCACCAGACAATCAAGTTGACAAGTGGAGGACAGCCCTTCTTAATGCTGGGGGCATTGCTGGATTTGTTGTACTTGGTTCCAGGTACTTTTTCAATCTTAATTTGCTTTTGATTTTGAGGCAGTCATATTTTTATCATTACATCGCATATCATTCGCCACATTAAAGGGTAATATTACATTATTTTTAAAAGTTTTAAGAGAATATTGGGCCAATCGAAAGTTAAACATACTAGTTGCATCTAGTTAAAAACTTTTATATGAAATTTTTCAATTTAACCCTATTACAAAAATCATCTAAGCACATGATATACTCGTAATCATTAATGCTTCATTCCAAGTAATTTTATGTGTTTTACTTCTGAATTTGTTATGTTGCAACTAATTAATCATGTGTGTGTGAAACAATGAATCAACTTCTTATGGAAAAATCAAGGCTTTTTTTTTATCAAGCCTAAAATAATTAAGCAATCACTGTTCCAATGCCTAATGGCTTTCATTCAATTATATGTATAGATATAATAATGGGATCAAGACCTTAATCAATAATTAAGAAGAAATAGAAAACAATACTATAAAATTAAGCATGAATGATTTTTATTTTTGCCTATAAATGATGGTTATTAATCATCATTTATTTGTCCTTCATTTCAAGTCCCCCATAAATTATGGTTATATAACTATCATTTAAAATATATTTTTTTCGTGTTTCATGTAATGCAGGAAAGAATAAATGACATGTAAATGATTTAGCCATCATTTATTCTCATTATAAATGATGAGTAAATAATTCACTAGTCATTTATCCTTAAATAAATTATAATTATATAAATAACTGTCATTTATTATTATTTTTTAATTAGGTCTTCTAACTTAGATGCAATAATCAGCTTTAAAAGTCCATATCTTACCCAAAAACAAACTATTCTTCTAGGGTGTTTTATATACTCAAGATCAAACCTTATAAACTCTTTCACATCATTCAAATACTCTTTATTTAATCGATTGACAGACATTCATTCTTTATCTATAACTTTAATATAGAAAAATTTTCATATAAGGAAATGTGATCATTAGTAACTAATGAATATGGAAAGGAAATGAATGATACAATGATGAATAAATGATTACTCTACATATAATATAGAGTAATCAATGAATTATGCGTCATATGCATGAGCATTCACACATTCCTTTAACCGCCAAGAAAAATTTGACAACATAATGGCATATAAAAAGTATTCTTCAAGCTCAAACTCTCTTTTAAATTTGGCATCGTATCTCAACAAATTTCAACCATTTACAATCTCAACAACAAAATTTTCATAAAATAGCATTTTCAAACACTCAAATCAACTCTAATTATAATGCAATTTGACTCACTAGTACATTTTAATATATAGTTTTTAACTATAAAATTACCTAAGTCAAATAAAACATAAAATTTAAATTATAAAATTATCTTAAAAATTTGTTAAAAAAATCAAAAAAAAACAAAAATATCATCAAAACATCATTTTCAATCATTGTTTTTTATCTCCTTGATCATTTTAAGGTTACTCATATTCTACATTAGTAATCCTAAGCTAAAAAAACATCATTCATTATCAAATGTCAAAATTTCAACAAAATAAGAATAATTTTTAGAGGTGGTCAGTTTTGGTAACTCAAATTAATTCCAATTATAATGAAATTTGACACATTTGTAACATTTCAATATGTAGTTTATAACGATAAAACTACTTCGATCAAACAAAGATATAATTTAAATTGAAAATAATTCAAAAAATTCATTCAAAATTTCCAGAAAAAAACAATCATCTTGAATATTTATTTTGATCACTCATTTTCATCTTTACAATCATCCTAAAGCTACCCATATCATCTATTAGCATTCTCAAGCTAAGAACATATTATCAATTTTTGACAATTCACAATACCAAAATCAAGCAACAAATGAACAAAAAGTTAAACAAGAAAAATCAATCAACAAAATTATCCAAAACAATTAATAAATCATTTTCACAACCAAGAAATCAAAAGATATTGAAAGAAAAGGAAGAAAACACACATTGAACCAAAAGGGATTGAAACCCAAACAGGAAGAACCTAAGATGATGAATGACGGCAAATTACAACATAGGCAGTGGCAGCTTCACGTCAGAGAAAAGTACGATGATCAACGTTAACAATGGAGGCATTTTGAGGGAGTTTTTTCAATTTCGTGTGCAAGTGGAGAAGAGAAGCGAAGAAAGGAGACTATCAGGCGCAATAACAAAAACGAAACTTAAATAGAGTTTTAAAAGAAAATAAATGAGTTATTCCCTCATATTAAAGTTTAAATTTTTTAAATTTTTTTAAATCACAAAAACTGAAATGTTATATGACAGCTTTTTCAAAAACCCATCGTATATTATATTAAAATAAAGGACCGGTGTTTAAAACACCGGTCATTTTTATCACTTGCCTCACCATTATATGATGTATTTTTTTAATTATCATTTTTTGTTGCACCTTATGTCCAGATTTTTGTAGTAGTGGAAATTAAAATTTTGAAGAATATTTGATCATTTGACAAATATTTGAAGATTCAAACAACATGCAAAGATTTGGCAAAAAAATTCGTTATCTTTGATTAATTTCCTATAATCTTTTTAATAAATGTGATCATTTCAGATTATTTTATATTGAAGTCTACTTTATTGAAATGTGTTTTAATTAAGGATAGGTTTAGGGATTTACAAATACGCCCCAAAACCTCTTGTTTGTATGCCTTATCATTGAATGAAATTACCGGTCTAAAATTTCCTTCTTTCATATTTCTCCTCGATTCTGATCGTCTCTCCCTCCTTTTTCTTCTATCTTTCCCTTCCTCATTTTAAATCCTATAAACAAGTGATATTGATTCATATAATTTAATGTGCTCAAGTGAACTGAATGTTTGTGTTTTGCAGTTGAATAATGAGTGTTTCAATATATTTTCTCATAATAGCTGCCGCTAGCTAGGTCCTGTCTCTTTGATGTATAGTTTTGTTCATAATATTTCCTCCTCTGAACACCAATAGCTTTCAAAATCTTGACTTTATTTGTAAATGTGTTTATATATCCAATGCTCATTTGATGTTTATATGATTCTTAGGAACGAGAGTGAAGATGTCAAAAAAGTTGTTGAAAATGTTTGTGACATATTGGATAAGAAAGACTTGTTTGTGGCAGACCACCCAGTAGGAGTGGATGACCGTGTGCAAGAAATGATCACAACACTTCAAAACAACCAATCAGAAGATGTTATCATAGTAGGGTTTTGGGGGATGGGTGGCATAGGCAAATCAACTATTGCCAAAGCCATTTATAATAAAATTGGTCGCAACTTTAATAGTAGAAGTTACCTTCCAAAGATCAGAGAGGTTTGGGACCAAGCTAATGGCCCGGTGTCTTTACAAAACCAACTTCTTTGTGAAATTTGCAAAACAACAGAAATGAAGATAAATAACATTGAATCAGGAAGAATCACATTGAAGGATAGACTTGGCCATAACAAAGCACTTCTTGTGCTTGATGATGTGGACAAGCAGGACCAACTAAAATATCTAGCTGGAAGTCGTGACTGGTTTCATCCAGAAAGTAAAATAATCATCACAACTAGAGATGAACATCTCCTTAGTGTCATTGAAGTAGATCTTGTATATAGAATGAAGCATTTGAGCAAAAGTGAATCTCTTGAGCTTTTAAGTTGGCATGCATTTAAGGAACCATCTCCTGGAGAAGAATTCAATGAGCTTTCCACAAGTATAGTTGCTTATTCTGGAGGTTTGCCACTAGCTCTTGAAGTCCTTGGCTCCTATTTGTTTCAAAGGAAAGTGTCAGACTGGGAGAGTGTATTGGAAAAGCTAAAGGAAATTCCCAACAATGACATATACAAGAAGTTAAAAATAAGCTACGATGGTTTAAATGAAGATACAGAGAAAGAAATATTCCTTGATATATCTTGCTTTCTTATTGGGATGGAAAAAAATGATGTCACACACATATTAAATGACTGCGGATATTTTGCAAATATTGGAATAAGTGTCCTTGAAGAGCGAAGTCTTCTTACCATTGATGAGAAAAATAGGATTGGAATGCATGATTTGCTGCGGGATATGGGAAGGGAAATAACTCGTGAAGAGTTTCCCAAAAAGGTTGAGAAGCGAACTAGGTTATGGTCTCATAAAGAAGCTGTGAATGTATTGTCAAAATACACTGTAAGGACTTTTATCTTATATTTTTTTTATTGTGATTCACCTCTCAAGCGCATGTTATCAACTTAATGTGTCATTAAAAAAAACTAAATTTAGTCACTTGCTCTTTCTAGAAGCTTGCTTGTGACACAGGCTTACATGTTTCATTTCAATTAATAAAAAAGCAATGATGCACATTTTAACTTTTATGCTCTTGATTCGTAGGGGAAAAAAGTTATTGATGTAGAGGGACTTGCATTGAAGTTCTCACAAATTGATGGGAAAGATAATTTTTATACAAAAGCATTTCAAAGGATGGAGAGGCACAGATTGCTTTGTCTTGGCAATGTGCGACTTGAAGGAGACTATAAATACATTAGTAGAGATCTCAAATGGCTTTATTGGCATGGGTTTCTTTTGAAGTGCATCCCTAGAAACTTTTATCAAGAAAATTTAGTTGCTCTTGAGTTGAAGGGCAGCAATCTCAGACAAGTGTGGGAGGAACCCCAGGTATATATTGGTACTAATTAGTTTGGCATTAGCCTTAACTTTTATCGCTATGCATGGGGTCAGAGATGCGGAGAAAATAAAGAGGGGCCAGGAACATGTGTGTATATTACTTGGAATTGGCATCATTTCTGATTGTATACACTTGTTGCTCCAAACATGTTGATTCATGCTCTTGATATATTTCACTGCCAATTTTCATGTTTATTATAAGATTTTCTCAAGTATCTGTCTTTTAGATTAATCTTAGTCTAAAGGTTTTATCATAACTTCTGGATGAATCTTCTTTCCTTGCAATTCTTGAATAAAGCTGTTGGATTTTCTTCTATTCACTTGCTTCTATTGCATATTTAATTTATCTATAAATTTTGCTAGCATTATTATCTGATACAGTATTGGGAGAATGACATTAAACTTCCAAAACAATGAATTTATGACAGTTAGATCCACAACAAAATTTTCTATAAAATTAATTATAAATATGTTGATTCAGATAATTATAAATTCAAAAGTTTTAATTGTAAATAAGACATTTAAATTCTAAATATAACTCTCAACTTATAATTGAAATTCTTGTTTGCAATTGTTTGAATTAATATTTTTAACTTGTTTTTTTGAAAATTTTATCGAGTATCTATCTGTCATAAATTCTTTATTTTGGGACTTTATTATCATTCTCCCTAGAGTATTTGTTTGTTCTATTTCAAGAGTTCATTAGTAAGCTAATTTTAAGCAACAATCTAATTAAATGTTTGAAAAATGTATATGTGTGTATACATACATAGGGAAGAGGTTAATTGTGGCCTTAAGCATCCTCGTTTTCAGAACGTCAATTTCATATAGATATTTCACATCGTTTATTAGGAACTTGTTATGAACTGAATTGCTCAATGTTCTAACTACTGAATCTAAAACACTTTCTGGATAGATTTTCCAGAACTTAAATCAGTTTTCAAGCTTTCAAAACTTGATAAAATTGCCGGAAGCTCCCATGCTAGGCTTTACAAATATCCTTTATATATGGCAGCAAGTTTGAAAGATAATTGATATATGCATACATACATATTTGTGTCCATCAATTCTGTTTTTAAAGATTTCCCTAATTTCCGCTTCAAATGTTCTTTCCTTGCAGGTATTGAAAAGGCTGAAAATTCTCAATCTCAGCTACTCTACTTCATTGGCGCAAACTCCTGATTTTTCGAAACTGCCAAATCTTGAGAAGTTGATTCTTGAAAATTGTCCAAGTTTGTCCACAATACATCACTCTATCGGGTATCTTGGTGAACTTCTCTTGCTGAATTTAAAGGATTGCACTGGCCTTCATAGTCTCCCAAGAAGCATTTATAGATTGAAAAAGTTGAAAACTCTCATTCTTTCTGGTTGTTTGAAGATTGACAAGTTAGAGGAGGATATTGAGCAAATGGATTCATTGACTGCACTAATTGCTGACAAGACTGCAATAACTCAAGTGCCTTTTTCATTAGTGAGATTGAAAAGCATTAGATACATATCTCTTTGTGGTTATCAAGGATTATCACGTGAAGTGTTTCCTTCTCTCACTTGGTCTTGGATGAACCCAACAAATAATGTTCTATCTCTTATGCCAACTTATGGGGGCATGTCATCTTCAATTTTGTGGAATATGCTAAATAGTTGCATCCCTTCTCTTTCATCAATTCCTGATAGCCTGCCGAACCAACAAAATCGTCTATTGGAATGTGGAGAAGAGATCCAAACTCAAGTAAATAGAGGGGTCACAAGAATGTTGGAATCCTCATATGCCACAAATTGCACCAACATCTCAGTGTCAGAAGATTGCTTGAGATATCTCTTAATTCAAGTTGGAACGACTGACCAAGTCATTATCCCTGAGAGTATTTCACAGGTTATTTCTTTGTCCCTCCCTCTCTATATTTTTAATTATTTTTTTTTGAAAAGAAACATATCTTCTTATGTATTATATAGTTGAATTAGAGACTATGCTTATGTTATTGTGCAGGGATTGACTTGCAAATATCCCTATGGGCAAACGTTCAAGGGTGTGCAAGATTCTGCAAAGTTTAAAGTGCCTCAAGTCAATGGTTGTCATTTGAAAGGGATGTATTTTGTGTTTTACCCTTTTGGCGGTGATTTAGGCAACGAGGCATCTAAATTTCTTGTCAACTTAATGATCATAAACTATACAAAGACAACTACTTTGCGCTACACGCGAGACACAGTGACTTCATTTGGAGAAGTGGAGTGGAAGGAAATCAAATCAAATCTGGATGCAAATGATCAAGTGGAGGTGATTGCAGATTTTGGGAATAGGTTCACTATGAAAGAGACTGTTGTGTACTTGATCTATGATGAGTCATTTGATGAACAGATTTTAGGAATAGATTCATCATCATCTTCTGCAGCAAGTATAACAGGAGAAAGTTAGAGACGATTCCAATTGATCAGGCCGAGTCGAGCTTAATTCACAGATTTCAACATTGTATTCTCTCAATTTTTTGCTTTCTGTGCAACTTCTGTGAGGGTCACACGACAGGTGGTAACAATTAGTATTGCCACCGATCCTTTATTTCACCATGACAACTATGTCCTATAGTTTTTTTTTTTTATTTTGTTTTTAAGTTCAACCAATGTTCATGTTATGGTTTGATTGATAATATTTTGTGTTTTGTATTATTTAAAATAATTGAAAATTATAAAAATTCGAACTGTCCATTAGTTAATTACATATATATATATATATATATGATGTCAATATATAATTTTACATTATGTTTTTAGCAATAATTTTATTAAAAAATAATAGTTTTTAAAATGAAATAGAATTGTACAAATGATTACAAATAAAAAATTATAACAATGGTATAAATAACTATTTTTTATTTCTTGTGCGATGTCCAAGAATGTTTTTAATAATTACAAAGCAGAAACAAACAACTTGTTTCATTTTAGAATTTGTTACTTAGTTACGCTCAAATATAGTTAACAATTTATTTCACTTTATAAAGTGTTGTAATAATACAAATTAAAAGTATATAACACATTTTTTTTTATAATTTATTTCTTTTATACCATATGAGCAACTTGTATTATTTTAAAAGGTAAAATTTTATTGAAGATCCTTGGACCACAAATAATAAAAGAGTACTTAAATTTTTAAAACTTTACTGCAAGTATAAAGTATTAAATTGAAATTAAAAATTTTTAGAAGATAACAAATTTTTCCCATTAAAATTTTCTAGCACGTGTTATTTGTGTCCTTATTGTATGTTATCTATCATCCTTCAAAATGTTATTCTTTATCTTATTCACTTATTCATTACAATATTCTTACTTGAATTAATTTTGAGTATTGCTTTTATGTTAGTATGACTTATTTGTGTCCTTACTATATATGATTATTGCCTATAAAACTTGTTTACAACATTTTTATCTAAATTATAGTGTTGCTTTCATATTAGTATTGCTCGTATTCTTACTATATGTGGTTTATTATTTTTCAAATTGTTGTCCATTGTCCTATTAATTGAATTAATTATAAGTGTTGCTTTCATGTTAGCATGACTTATTCGTGTCTTTACTGTATTTGGCTCATTACCCTTCAAACTGTTGCTCATTACCCAACATTACATATATATAGTTCATTTTTTCTTGTTAAATTTCTTCTCTCTTTTAATGGGGACAATCTTGTCATTTTCTAAAGAATTTTGATTTGAATTCAATACAAAATTCAAGGGTTTTCTTTTTATTATCTTTGGTGTAAGGGTTTTCAGTGAAATTTTTTTCATTTTAAAATTTATTATCCCAACATATTAAGACTATAAATAATTTTTTGTTTTGTCCCTTTACGAATCATTTGAATTTTTTTTGTTTTTTGTCTCTCCGTCGTGCATATTAACAATTATTCAATTTAAAATGGAGTCAAGTCAAGACATTGTTTAATTGAGCCATGGGCTGGCATAAGTATTGGGCCAGGAATGAGCTCATACTGTCAAAGCCTTGACCACTGGGCTAGCTATGATTTTCAGTTAATACTGCAACTTGTAAGTGTGACTCCAATGGGTTTTGTTGTGATCATGATGGCCCTTGTTCCTGCCTGTCACTTAAACTTTCTTTTAAAAAAAATTAGCAAAAAAAAAAAAAACAAACAAACATTTGTGGTGAAATAAGTTCAACTTGAACTTTAATACACGAGAAAGAAAATTCTCCATCTTAAAGATTTTTTTAAAAATAAAAATTTGATGTATAATATTGAGCGGAAAGAATTTGATATTTTCAGTCAAACCCTTATATTTGCCCAAAAAATGCATATAAAATGACGATATGAAATAATAATAAGATATTGACTCTACCTCATGCATATATTTTTTATTCAATTAAATTAAACACACACATCTACACACAAATATGTTAATGTCTGAGTTTGAATCCAAAACTTCTTATAAATAAGAGAGATGATGTTGCCACTTAGAAAACTTGCAGTTCGCGACATACATACGTGTATAGTAATGCATTCAAAATTTCAAACGCATAAATACATCTTTGGAAAAAAATTCAAAATTTTAAATCACGTGGATGGGGAAAAAAATTACATGACAGAGCTTCTTTTTAATTAGAGTGCTTTAAAATAAAAATAAAAAAAACCTTCTTCTTTTTCTTCTTAGTCCAGCCCAGGTCTGTGTCAGCATTTAAGTGTTTATCTAAATGCATATAACGTTATTGAAGTCGCATTCTTTTTTAGGGAAGCCAACGACTTGCGCATGTGAAGGGGGTGTTTGGCTTTTGTGAGATGAAAGGTAAGTGTGAGGTGAGAATGAGATTTTAAAACATATATCAAAGATAGAAGATTTGACAGACAAACAAGGGATACATCAATGTCCTTCACCTTTGTCTCTTTTTATTAACCAATTATAGGCGAGTAAGATCCATCACATTCACACCATTCAAATTAACATTAAAAATAAAAAATAAAAATATCACCTATGATGCATCGTTCTCAACTAGTCCCACCTAAAAATTACTCTCACGTTCGTAAGTAAAATTACTGGTCATCATATCTCATGAAAATCAAGATTAAATTCCTCAAGTTAAATCATATGCTTATTCTCTGTTGTAAAATATTATGAAAGATTTTTAATCGAATTATATTCTCTAATAAATTAATTCTATTTAAAATTATATATTATTTTTATATTTATTTTTATTTAATAAGGTGTTTTAATTAAAAATGTTATTAATTACATCCGTTAATTAAGGTTTTTTTAATTTATTAATTATATTTTAAAAGACCCAAAATACTTTTTTTTTAACATGGTACACAAAAAAAAAAAACAAAAATGCATATATACCTACACTTATATATTTAAGGTACTTATTTTTAATTAAATCATGACATGTGTATCTTTTATATATTATTTATTCTATAATAAATTCTTATTATTAATGTTATTAACATATTAAAATTTACATGTCATGATTTGATTGCATAAAAGTATATTAAGTATATAAGGATAAATATATAATTACTACCCTTAAAAGAACAAACTCCAAAATTTTAAAAAACAATCGAACAAAACACGGTGTAAGAGATTATATTGATAAAAATTAAGGGAATTGATTTGTTCTCATTTAGCTACACATTCCCTTCAATTCAAAATATAATTTGGGAAGAATGAAAGTTAGGTCTCGAAACTTCTAATTAATAACAATTAAGTCCTGATAAAATTTTATAAAAAATAAATTGAAAATATCAAAAAAGATAATTGCAAATTTAGTATAAGACATTTGAATCCTAACTCTCATTCCCTCGATGATTTGAGCATCGAGCCAAGCAAGTTAATTGAGTAGTGGCCCTCACTTTTTTTAATGAAAGTAGACTTTTTGCATGTGCATGTTAAGTACGTTAGTTGTGGGTAGCAAGCACCCATTTACATTAAATAAAAGCTAAAAAATATATTTTTTTCTAATTTTAAGATATTTGTACATGATCTTCCTAACATTTCAATATTTAAGATTATTTCCATAATCTTTAATTTTGTTTTTCAAAACCTCCTACTATTAATTAACTATTATTCTATCAATATAGTTACGTTTATTTCATATTAATGCAATATGCATGACATATGATGCATAAAAATATATTTATTATTTTTTAACACAATTTAAGGAGGGGTAAAAATATAATTTTTACTTTTAACACAAATGACAATGCTTTTATTTTTTAGTTGAATGACATTATTCTCATTGCTCTTGCTCAATTAAAGAGAAATATTATAATTTTATTATTGCTTATCATTAAAACAGCCTTTTATATTAAACAAATGAAAAGAAAACTATCTTAAAGCTATCGTTGACAATAAATGACATATTATGTGCTATGTGTATTGTATTAATTTGACATGATAATAACTATATTAATATTATAATAGTTAATTAATGGTATAGGGTTTTGAAAAATAAAATTAAATGTTAGGGAGTTAATTTTAAATGTTTAAAAGTGAGAAAAGTTACATGCAACTACTTCAAAATTTTAAAAAAAATTATGTATTTTAACATTAAATAAATTAGAGTGACTTGAATATATTAATTGGATGATCAGATCATAAGCCTGAGAAATCATGAGTGAAATTGAAGACATAAAGGAATTGTTCAGTGAAAATGAGAAGAGTTCTGTTAAGAGATGGGTTAGAAGGCAAAAATATCTTAAAATTTTTTTGTCAAAAGCGCCTGATATCTTAAACATTTTTTTAGAGTAATAATGTCCAATAAACTTTTAAAAAGGGCCCCTAATGTTCTAAACTTTTACATCTACAAAATATTGACAATTAAAATGGCATTGTAAAAATAACTTTTAAAAATTTTAGGGCGACATTGCTCTAAAAAAAATTAAAATATCAAACACTCCTTATGAAAAATTTCAGGACATTTTCTCTTTTTAGTCTTAAAGAGATACTCCTTCCGTTAAAAAATGTAAGATATTATTTAAAAAATTAAATGTTAAAAAACATTTTTAAGGGTTTTAAAGTGCAATCATTGCCTTTTTTTAAAAAAATATCACTATTGAATAAATTACTTTATATTTATTTTTGAGTCAATTATCCTATTAAATAAAGATAAATATAAAAATATAGTATTAATTTAAATATAAGTGACTACTTTATTAAAAATGTAAGGCATTTTTTAGGAGTTGAATATTTAAAAATATAAGAAATTTTTAGTTTTTTAAGGTATGATCATTGTCTTTTTTTTAAAAGTACTCTATTGATGAATGACTTTATATTTATTGTAGAATATTTAATAGGGGTAAATATGAAAAGATATGATTAATTTGAAAGTAGGTAATTTTTTTATTGGGAGTGAGACTCGGTTAAAAATGACTTACATTTTTAAACAAAGAGAGTCTATTTTTTAATGGAGAGAATAACTATTTTGGCCAAAGGGAGAGAATAACTTAATTTTTTTTTCTTGATATTCTTTTGCCAACTTTTCTTTGCTTTAATTCGGTCCTTTTGCAAGGTATGAGGAGGAAAATTGTTTGTCCTTGCTATAACACACCACACAAGATATTTATTACATAGTACTCTCATTCAATGTTGATTCATTTCAACAAAATTACATAATAT